AGAACGGCTTTTAGGAGGAAAAGATGAGGGTTTTGCTGATTCTAATCCAAACAGTTTGAAGACAGTTATGAGTGACGAAGGAGAGAAACTAGAAAGGTATGATTAATTTAACTATTTTACTATAATTGGTCATTTTGTGGGTACAAAATTTTGTGAAAAGATATTAATTTTTAATTTAAAGGGATTTAATTTTACAAGGGGATTACATTTGTGTTTTGATTGTTACATGACGAGGTTAACTGTTGGCATTTTTATTGTCGCTCTTTTCATATTTTTTGTAAGTACTGCCTAAGGAGTGCTGCCTTTTTCCATACATAGTTTAAATGTTTTATGAAGAAGTAAGATGGCACATTTTTATGGAGGAGTATCATGAGTGAGCCTTACATCAGTTAGCTGGAGCCAGGCCTGGGGTCAATTACAAATAAATGTAATCTATTACTATTACTATTACTTGAAAATTGTAACTATTATATTACTATTACTATTACAGCCTTTTTTCAAAGTAATGTATTACTATTACTATTACAACAAAGCATATTACTATTACAATTACTATTACAATACGCCATAAACTTTTATAGGTTATTAATAAAAATAATGTAATTTTGAAGTTAATCTAAGTCATTTTATAGTTTCTAATTAAGAATTCTTTGCTATATTTACAATAATAAGCCTCAGTAGTAAGCAATAGTTCCTGGCTAACATGCTATTTTCCTATTGTTACTCATTAGTGTAACACTGCAAGTAATAGCTGTGTAATATTGAGATTACATATTACTTTGACCATTATTACTATTACTATTACTATTACTTCCTGTTGCCAAAGATTCTATTACTATTACTATTACTATTACTTGGTACCCTGTAATCGTTACTATTACAATTACTATTACATATTACTATTACCCCAGGCCTGGCTGGAGCAAACAGAGCCTTTGCTCACTTTTGGTGGTGAATCATCAGTGGCTTTCAAATGTGATTTTTATATCCAAAAGCTTGGAAAGTATTGGCCACTTTGCCCTTTTATTGCCTTTTTCTTTCTAATGCGCTACGTCTACCATTTGACAAGCATGATCACAATTACTGTTACAATTTGTTGTAGTGTTTTATACATGTACAGCTATGGTTAGATAATTAAACGTCCAGTATAAGCATTTGCGTAACTCTGTTTGTCAAAAGTGAAGAAGTAAAATAGATGCATGATTTTTTGTATGCTCATGTTCATTGACCACATGTTCGATTAATCATTGTGCGTGCGTTTCTTTATAGTGTGTGTGTGTGTGTGTGTGTGTGTGTGTGTGTGTGATGTATTCTTATAATCTATAGTTTTCGCTTTTATAGTTGGCATTTTTAGTGTCGCTCTTTTCATAGTCTTTTATCATTACTGCCTAGAGAGTACTGCCTTTTTGCATACAATGGTTTTTTTCAAGAAATAAGATGGCACATTTTTATGGAGGAGTATCATGAGTGAGCCTTACATCATTTAGCTGGAGCAAACAGAGTCTTTGCTCACTTTAGGTGGTGAATCATCAGGGGCATTCAAATGTGATTTTTATATCCAAAAGTTTGGAAAGTATTGGCCATTTTGCCTTTTAAATTCAGCCTTTTTAACAAACACTTTTTAATGTGCTACATCTACCATTTGATCAGCGTAATCATTACTATTACAATATGTTGTAGTGTTTTATACTTGTACAGCTATGGTTAGATAATTAAACGTACAGTATAAAGCATTTGCATAACTCGTTTATTGTAAGCGTGAAAATAAAATAGATGCATGCTTCTTTGTATGCTCATGCTCATGTGCATTGATCACGCGTTCCATTAATCATCATGCGTGTGTTTCCTTATGGCGTATGTGTATAACGTTCGGCATATGTGTGTAAAGTTCTTTATGGTGTACAGTCATATGGCAGAGAACGTAGTTGATATTCTTAGAAACTAGAAGAATAATAATTTATTTGAGAACTCTTTCCTACTGTGTTTCATCAGTTTATACATGTAATTGACTTCTTGAAGGATATTCTATTTTTTAAGTTTTTTTTGCTTAATTTCATTAAAAATGGAGCTACATGAGACCTTCTAGATAAAGAAGTTAAGGCACCTTAACTGGATTTAGAGCAACTACAGTTTATAAACAAGTGTATAGAGGAGAATGATGAGATAACAGCAGATTATTAGGAATAAACTGTGGAAGAAGTGGCCAGCTTTATCTATTTGTTCAAAAACAGTGAGAAGCTTGGATGGAAACTAGAATAAAGAGTAACTACACATGTAGGCCTATAACTCATAGGAGAGGCTATTTTCATAAATGAAGCAGCTTTAATTAGGATACTAATGAGCCATTACATGTTGCTGCTGTACTACATGCTCATGTATTAACTAATGATTTTTACAATATCATTTGATTATTATTATAAATGTTCTCGAGACATCTCTCTTTGTCTGTGTCATATATTCTTATAATCTACTTATAATCTATAGTTTCGCTTGTATAGTTATACCTATAGTTTACTTTTAAGCTTTCAAGCCCTTCTTTGCCATATCTACATGTATGTATAATTCTACATCTTTTTGACACTGACACTCGAATTTTAATCACACAATGGATAAATATTCTTTGTTACTTTTTCTTAGGAACTTTAACCTTTTAGAGGTGATAAAGCTTGTGGTTTGCTCTCAGCCTCTGTAGAGTCACTAATATTATCATTCAAAACTTAATTTCTCTTTTTAAGGCCTTTCTACACTTGTCCACTTTTGATACAGAATTAAGACAAAATCCAGGATTAAAGCAGGATTAGCTTGTTCACACTTGTCTTGAATCGGGATTGAAGCTAGATCCAGTTAATCCACATCCCAGAGTGGATTGAAGTGGATTGATCTCAATTT